AAAATAGTTATAATAAAGAATTGGTATAATCAGAATTAGTAGGTGTGTCCAGATCTTTGCGTGGTAGTGTACATCAGAAAGTGAATTGAGTTCAGTGGATTGTAAATCATAAGTGAGATGTAAATTCTATACTGTACTGTGCATATAGCAACATACATAGATCTGGCAATAATTTATGTATTTTGTAATATATACAGGATTTTCTAATTTATATCAAAATGATTCTGCTTTGAATGTGTCCAGAAATATATGCAGTTGTATGTGCAGTGTTGTTGTTGTTTTAAAGTGGTTAATTTGGTGAATGCTTTTATTTTATGACTCTGCATTCTTCATAGCAAACTACATTTATTAAGAATTATATCTAGTAAAGCTTAGAAATGTTTTAGAGTTTTTCCCCCCCATGATATTTTTGTACATTTCTTTCGCTTGCGTTTCATCCTCTTTTAAAGTAGTGTGAGATTTCCAGTGCTGGAACCACTTGGGAAGACTTGTTGAGAGATAGCCTTTGCATGCCTTTTAAAACTTATTGATACCCATTGTTATAACTGTAATGATATTCATGAATAAAGGAGCAGAAATGTCCACTGAACAATTCATATTTTTCAGTATCTGGTCATTAATATATGCAGCTCATGTACCCCCTCAAATGATGGTGCCCTTGTGAATGACCCTCTTAAAATATAAAGTCAACTATATATTTATGACATTATAAGGACGTGTGCAAAAATTATTTATGACCCTGGACCACAAAACCAGTCTTAAGTGTCAGTTTTTTTAAATTGAGATGCATGCATCATCTGAAAGCTGAATAAAGAAGCGTTCCATTGATGTATGGTTTGTTAGGATCGGACAATATTTGGCCGAGATGCAACTATTTGAAAATCTGGAATCTGAGGGTGCAAAAAAATCTAAATATTGAGCAAATCACCTTTAAAGTTGTCCAAATGAAGTTCATAGCAATGCATATTACTAATCAAAAATTAAGTTTCTAATATATTTACAGTAGGAAATTTACAAAATATCTTCATGGAACATGATCTTTACTTAATATCCTAATGATTTTTGGCATAAAAGAAAAATCTATAATTTTGACCCATACAATGTGTTTTTAGCTATTGCTACAAATATACCCCAGCGACTTAACACTGCTTTTGTGCTCCAGGCTCACATATTATAAATATATTGTCATTGTACAAGACGAAAATGACTTTATTATTATTAAGTTGTATGTTTTCATAGTGTTTCATTTAAAGAACAGTGATTGTTTTACTGGAATAATCATAAATATCATCATTTATATGATCTTGTAGCCTATAATGTTCCAACTTATCACAGAATAAGAACATATTCTAAAGCATTTCTAAAGCGCTTTATACAATATAGACTGTTTCACAGCAGCTTCACAATAGTTTCAATTTCAAATTCTGCTGTAAAGCAGCAAGTCAATAGTGTCATTATACAGCTCAAATCAGCTCTGTATTCAGTTCAGTTGCATAATTGTGTAAAATCCATCAGTTGTACATGCATACTGTATATACAGTGTATATGTGCATATGCATGTATGTGTCGAGTCCTATGCCAAACTCCTGTGGTCCACTCTGAACAAGCCAAGGGCACACAAGAGAGGTGTTTTACATTGTTCACATCTGTGTGTAGTGGGGCGTGCATGTGGCTAATTGTTTTATGTTTGTGTGTTGAGTTACTACGCAAAAAATTGTTCTTCATTTTTAGAAGAGTTCAAATAGTTTTGAAAGAAGTGTTTGCTTTTGGCAAGTTGTGTGACGTTCGGCAAGTTGTGTGTGTGTGGTTTGTGGTTTTGTGTGTAGAGTTTTGAGAAACGAAGCCATAGTTTCTCGCAATTCTGACTTTTTTTCTCACAATTGCAAGTTTATATCTCACAATTCTGACATTTTTTCTTGCAATTCTGATTTTTTTCTCACAATTGCAAGTTTATATCTCGCAATTTTGACTTTTTTTCTCAGAATTGTGAGATATTAACTCGCAATTGCGAGTTAAAGTCCAATTTTGAGGGTGGGGGTGCGGTAAAAGTAACGAATTACAAATACTCACGTTACAGTAATTAAGTAGTTTTTTATCAGTAATTGTACTTTTTTGAGTAGTTTAAAAATTGTGTACTTTTACTTTTACTTGAGTACATTTTAAGTGATGTATCGGTACTTTTACTCCGCTATTTTCCTCCGTTTGTGGTCGTTACATGCTTATTTTAATTTCATTTTTATCCATCAATGTGATTGGATAGAGAGTAATAGGTCTCGTGACTTTCGTCAAATCAAATTGTGCATAGAAAACTTTAACCGCCAACTGTTTATCATGGCTGCTGGAAGTGCATTCTTCAAGCATCAATTCAGTCGCATCTTCTTCTAACTTAATATGTTAAGGTAAATTTCAGATTTCTGCTTACTACATGATTTGTGTATATGCTTGCCTATCTACACGGCCTGAAATTTGGTGTGAGGTTGCGGGTATTGCGTACAGTGTTAAGTGTTAACTCCCACAAGTGCCACGTTTGGTAAATTCCCCACTCACTTATGAGACTCTGCCTCCTCTCTCTCTCTCGCGTGCGTTCTGCAGCAGTCACTTGAATAAGTCGTTGCTGTTGCTTGTTGAACTTGTCGATTTTTGATGAGTTTGAGCGCGTGATGCGCGCTGTGAAAAGGGTTTTTATTTTATTTAATCCATTTTATACTATCCGCCTTCATTTAGCAAGTGAACTCGCGCATTTATAAACAATTTTCAAGTTCAACACGTTTTGTTCCGTTCAGTTGTGGATGCTGTTGATTCACTGAGAGCGCGTGTGTGTGTTTTCCTTTGAAAAAGTTTCCCCAGGAATAACTCGCTATTTAATGCATTTTCACTTACAAATTGTATTATCAGCATAACAATTTGCCATCCTTCTAGAACAATGTGCATTTATG